TATATTTTAACTCTCCAGGATAAACAAATATTCGATTAAGACACTAAAAATTATTTATTACCAGAAAACAGGTTCAGATATTACCCTTGGTATTATTAGGATTATAAATGGCCGCTATGGAACTTCTGACTTCTCTCTCCATATTTCTACTCCCAGTCATCCTCCTGAACTTTTCTCCAAAAACAAAGTTCTATTAGAGGTTTTACGGTAATCGGAAAACTTACCAACCAACCTGTATTTCACCTGAAAAATATATTATTCCGCTTTTTCCGAAGTAAAACAGAAAAGTCCTAATTTCAAGAAAAACCGAATTTTGTGAAAAATTTTACTTATTTCTTTACTAAAAATAAGTTTTATTTTCGTTAGACATAATTTTTACATGTGAAAACAGTGAGAAGTTCTTTGAAAGCAGGAAATATGATCAATATGATCGAAAAATTGATCAAGATCGGCGGTGAAAAATTTTGCTAAACAACGCGCACTAGCATAATAGCGGAGTGTCGTTGATGGGTTGTCGTTTTCATGGGAAAAGCGTGCATGCTATATGGATGATATATGGGTGCTCCCACCGGCGACCAGTCGTGCCCAGCGACGACGCATATAGCGCGCGCGCTACCCACAGAATTATTATGGGTGCATATAGCATCCTATATGCGTGCCTAGACATATACCATGCGCAGCCGTTACCCTGTGCGAACATATTATTTAGTGGATTTTCACCCATTTTGACGATTTCTAGGAGCCTGGAGCTCGGCAGTCAAGTTTCCGATCACTTATGAAACTTTGTAAGGTGTGAAACAGACCCGAATTGGAAATTTCGTATTCACAAAATTTATCTGAAAATTCCTTGTTTTTTAGCTATTTGCCGATTTCTGAAAAACCCTCCAGAGCTCCCTCCAGACTTCTGAAAATGGTCAAAATCTAATGAAAACCCGGTTTTAATGAGAAACAAAAATTATGAAAAATAACTAGTTTCGAAAGTGTACTGATTAGCCAGACTTTCGTCTGTTGATCCCTTTCGCCACGTAGAGGCTCAGTACATGAAAGGGAAACAAGGTTTATTTGCCAATGGGATCACCTTCTAAAACCCATCGGAGGCGGGGAGAGGGGTCCCCCAATTCCTAACAAAAAAAAAAACAACCAGAAGTCACCCGAAAAACCCCTCTTTTCGGAGACCATTGTCGGTTAATTTTCAAAGGCTCCTTCTCCCTGATAAGAAGCCACACTGCATACCGCGTTTCATTGTTGTCTCAATTTTTTTAATCTTTGATAAAATCTCTTGCTACTGGGGGACGTTCAGTGATAAAACACCTAGCCATGAACCCCGAAACATGGCGACCCTTAGGGCCTTTCAGTACTTTTTTCACATCGGACCAATCGACAGAAAAAAGCAAAAGAAACAACAACAGGCAGAGTAATGCAAAGGGCTTCTTACCAGAGAAAAAGTGCCTGTGAAAATTATCCAACAATGAAATTTCAAAGAGTGAAATTTTAATAAGTCACATTATATTTCCCAGAGAACATTTTTTTCCAATACGTGGAATTTTTTAATCGTGGACAAAAGGAGGGGCGTGACCTAATATTGATTGATTGAATAATTTATTGCGTTACGTGAATAAAAAATTTTTAAACCTTGAACTTAAATATAATGTGACTTATTAAAAAAGAGAAATCAAAAAGTGAGGAGCGGAGCGACGAGCAGTAAAATAAATAGGTTAAATAGCGCCGAACGCCCACCAGCCAGCTGTTTGAGGCTCTGCAAACAGGCTGGTGTATCTCTAAATCGTCATTTTTATATTTGAACCGTTGATATTCCGAATAAGATAGTCGAAAATTCAACTTCTTCTCATATAATTCCTGCCGTCAATTTTTAGCCGAAAATGACTTTGAATTTCCGAAAATGTTTTCTTCAAGTTTAATTTTGGATTACTTGAGTTTCCGGAATCAGGAAAGACTTTAAAACCTTTTCACAAGTCATCCCAAAAAATTTTTGAGCGACTTTCTGACATTTGTTTTGTTTTTTTTTTCAGATACTCAGCGTCTCCCATCATGAAAAAGTGGCCAATGGTCTTCCTACTTCCCCCAGAATTCAAAAGGAGCCGTGGTCAGTGAGTAGACCGAGAAAAGTGATGTCCCGTTATGAATTACACATCCCTACTGGGCCGTCCATCCACATCTGTCCGTTGAATATTCACAAAAAAAAAACGAGACGTCTTCTTTTTTTCTTTGCTTCTCCTGTTGGTTCTCCTCTAGTTACCCTGATTGCCCGAATTTTGTTCTTCCTTTTTGGGTTTTTCACAACCCCAAAAAGGCAACTGATGAAAAAAAGAGCCAATTTAAGAAAGAGAGACCTCTCTTTTCTGATAGATCCATTTCCATTTTGTCCTCTTCCCCTTTTTTGCTTTTTCTCGGCTCATTGTGTCTTCTTCTTCTTGCTTCTTCTTGTTTTTTTTCTCCTGTGCTCTCATTCCAACCTTTTCATCAATTTTTGTCTTTGTAGTAGATACACACACACACGTCTCCTTCTTGTTCTTCTTTCTTTTTTTCTCCCATTCAATTTTCCAATAATTTCCGACTCGACTTCCCACTCCCACTTCTGATACAATCCACTCTCACTTACTTTTTCTCACATGCACCTGGCTTTTCAATTTCCTTTAATAACCAAAAATCTCTCAACCAAATCCCCTTTTTTCAATTTTCGAAGATTGAAAAGGTGTCAGTCAATTCTGATTATATTCGCTCTCCCCCGGATTTGTACATTTCAATCTCCTTTTTTCCAATTGCGTCTCTATGACGTCTTGTTTTTTATGTTACTATTCGTGTTCTGAGTTTTAGATTGTATGTATTTTGTTCTGTATATTCCGAATCTCTCATTATCTATTAGAAGTCCGTAAAACTTTGTCTTGACATGTTTCTGAACGAGTGAGAGGGAGGGTGTCTAGCATGTCAAAAAGTCAAACAACTTCCGTTTTTTTCTCTCCAGATGACGTGGCTAAAACACATTTCTTGAAATTTTAGAAGAACACCGTACATATTAGCATGAGAATTGATTTGAAAATCGAGTTTCATGCTATACTTAGCAAGTCATTTGGCTCCGTTTAATTTCCATAAATATATCAAATATCACCTGTTCGTTTGATTCGACTTTTGGTTGAGAACTTCGATGAAAGTGGTGTTAAATGGAGTCGATGTATAGAGCTCTGGTTTTTTCTTAGATTTTGATTTTCTCTGATTTTCGGAATCTCCATGAAAATGTTTAAGATTAACTACTATAACTAGTTGAGGTCCTGAAACCCATTCTACCAGAACTCTATTATATTAGTGTACCTTTTCACAGCAACAGGGATTCTGAAATTCGTTTCAGGAAGTTTTTTTTTCAAAGTTTCGAGTTTTTTTCTTCAAGTGGAAGCCCACAAAACTTGCCAACTTTGCTCAATTTTCTCGATTTCTGTAAAAGATATTAAGGCTTTGTCAATTGATATATTGTCTATTATAACATTACCAATATTTTATCAGCTGACAAATTTTTAATATCTTTCACAGATCTCGTGATAATTGAGCTTCAAGTTGACGATTGATGTGCGAGGTGCAATATGGAATTACAGTATATTGAATCAAGGTCAATTCAAAAATTAATTAAAAACCTCTGTTCATGCTAATCGACTTAAGCATGCGTCGGAAAGTTTTCAAACCCCTCTAACTTCTTCTACGGACCCAATGGTTTTTAATTAAAAGAATTCCATCTAATCTATCTTCTGAATCTTCTGCTCCACGTGATTCCACCATCCTCTTAACCAATACATCATCAAAACGGCTAGAAAATCATGTCAAAATAGCACTTCCATTTTTTCTTCCACCAACTCTTGGAGTCACATACACTCTGCTCCTCATTTCCCGGTTTTTGCTGGATTTCCCACTGGGACCACGGGGTCGTCGAAGACATGAATCTCGAAAGTGCCTGCCTTCGGTTGCCGGTCCTTCAGTGTGTCTTTGCTCTTATTCTATATACTGCTCCAACATCGTCTCAAAGAAGTACTCAATCTGATTAGAAAGAAAAAAAGAAGAAGAAGAAAGCAAACCGAAAAGGACACGTGAGAAGAAGGAAAACAATGATCAGTACGCTACTCGAGAAGCACTATTTCCAGGTCAGATCCCAAGAGTAACGTTCATCACTACAAAAGGACATTCGTTTCCTATCCGCTTTCTCCGTTCTTTCACACTTCATATCTTTCCGCCACGCACAAAAATTGTATTCCTTCTTATTCCTTCTTCCTCTCTCCATCTTCTTGTTCTCATACCGAAAAGCTCCTCCTCCTTTTCATTCCTATCTTCTTCGTCTTCATTCGACGACGGCACGTTGCCATGGAATTGGTCACTGGCATATTGCCATTTTCTATGGTATTGGGATCATTCTAGGACTTTTTGCTTCCATACTATCAAATTTTTGAAAGATACCTTGATGTAAAGTTATCAAATTAGCTCAAACTTAAACTTCGAAAGTGGTTTTTGAACCATTAAAAAATGTTTGATATCACATGAACCCAAAGCATACGAGAAACAATAAAAGGCTCTAAAAATTAATGAAAGTTTGCCATAATCATTCAGTGTCTTTTGAATCCTACTGTCTAAAATTGCATTAGTAAGGGGGGACTGATAACTTCATCTTCCGAAATTTAAAATTATCATCAAGTTTCATAAGGACCAGTTGATGACACCACAGAAAATAGAACATTTGGGTTGACTTTTTCGAAATTAAATACACAAAACATTTTGACAATGAGCTTCTTTGTTTACTGAAATTATTTTTTCCAATTTTTATCCAAAATCATCCCTATCTAGATGACTTCATTCGTTTTCAGAATAACAATCTGAACATTTTCAATACTGCTCATCGTATTCTCTTCAAATCCAAATTTTGATCCACCTAATCATCTGAAAATCCGCTTAACCCATCCTCCAATTCATTTTTTCGTCAACAAAACATCTCCAGAAGCCGTCTGTCAACTCCTTCTCGCCCTCTCTTTCATCGTAGTATCAAGTTACATTTGGAATTGTCGGTTTGTGCTCCAAAAACTTTTCCGACGGACTTCATTTCACACATTTTCAAGTTCCCGACGCCTTCTGCCCTTTACCTGCTTCATTAATTGCCGGAAATAGTGTAAAAATGGGAGAGAACATAGTCATGTATGCATACATCTCTATATGGATTGTGTTGCTTTTCTTCTTGCTCCCCCACACCTTTTCTCCTGCTTCCTTTTTTCTTTTTTCTATTGCTCTTCATCATCTTCTTCATTCTTTCATCGTTCCTCATTCATGTATATATCCGCTTTTCGCCATCTCCATATCTGCTTGCTTCGCTATTTCCGTTTTGGGCGGGAAATGTGCTAGGGCTACTTTGGTAAATGAGCAGCGGACCGAAGAAAAACGAAAATGGAGTTGAGGGTCCCAATGAGAAAAAGGAAATTGAAAAGTCACACCCATCTACAAGTTTTTATATTAGTCTTCTGATTCTGTTAAATTTATTTTTCTGGGAGATTCCTTTAGGGCCTACTCCCCCAAAGCATTATTAAAAGAAAAAAGGTTCTCCCAATTTTTTGAAAGCTTTCAAGTACTCTACTTCATTCGGTTATGCGATCCCTCGAATTACTCTCATTGAATCTCCATGCATTTCCTTGTTTGTTCTATTACGGACCAATCTCCTTATCCTCAATCAATCTGATTAAGTTTTTTTAGAGATTTCTAGAAGTGCAGAATTTTCAGTATGAAATCCGAAACCCTGAATTATGAAAGTTTGGAGATTATGAAAAATCATTAACCTCCCAGGTATGTGACCAACGGTTATTTTAAAGCAGGTGAAACTCAATATACTAATGAGAATCGGAAGTTTCTGTGTTTAGGATTTCCAACATTTTGTTTAGTACTACTCTCTAATAACTCTTAACTGGAAGTGAACTGGTTTTTGTTTCATAATTGCAAATCTCTACTGTATCAGTTGAGGAGAAATTATAATGTTCAAATCTTCAACTTGAGCTCACGTATCTCGGTTCCTATGTAAGATATCAGAAATTTGTCTACTGATAAATTCTTTATCATAATATCACCAATATTTTATCAGTTGACAAATTTTTTACATCTTTCACAGGAATCAAAATAATTTATCCCAAAGTTGACAGTTTGGAATGTGCTTCTATTAGAGAAATTACGGTAGTCTGGATTGCCTAGATAGTTTCATCTGAAATCGGAGAGTCCAATTCTTCATAGAATCTATGTCTTCCTGTATCATAGAATCTAAATCTTTAACCTTTTTCTAGTATACATATATTCTTGCACATCCACCCCCACTGCCGCAATTACAGCGTCTTCTCCCCGCCCATCCTCCTTCTCATCCTATTTTTTTGCTTCGTTTCTATTTTCTTTTTCTCCGTTTCTGGAGCACTGCAATTTCCTCTCGGCGCATCCATAATTCAGGTCAGCAGTGCACTCTCTCGGTCCCTTGTTTCTCTTTCTTGTCTTTTGGACGCGTCTCCAATTTTTGATGAATATGTTCTCTATTTCCAATTTCCATACGAGGAAAAAGTGCGTGAGAAACAAAACCCAGACGAGCATTCCATTCCGTTTTTCCGTTTATTTTCTTTTCTGATCCATTTGCTCGGAGAATCCGGAGAAATAGGACAAGGACAGTGTCAGCCACCAAAATTGTATTGGTTTAGACCTTTCTTGGAATCCCAAACTTTGTGGTTTGCATGATACGAAAAATGCATTCCACTGTACTAAAGATTTGATAGAAGATTCTGATCACGAGTTTCGGGAGAATTTTCTTGAAGTTCTATAGTTCTTCTGATATAAGTTTTCGGTCATGTGGGAAAGGACGTGGGAAAAACTTTGAGTTCTGGAATTTCAGAATATTTTTTCTCTAGTCAGCGCTCCAAAAAGCTAGTAGAATCCTATCGATGCACTATAGGTATACCTGAGTCTGCATTTTTCACGGGCTTTAAAAGCAAGTTTTTAAGAGCCCATTTCAATATCTAATGAGAAATTTTGAGATTTGAAAACAGTAAAATCGTTGAAAACTTTTATGAAGCTTGAATCTTGAAACTGAAGGTTCTTTTTTATTCTGCCATTTTTCTTTGTAGAGCTTCAGATAAAATACCGTACTATCTGTAATAGAATGGTCCATTAACTTTTAACTTCGAGCCTATTTTTCTCGGTTCTTGAAAAAGATATTAAAAGTTGTGGGGGCCTTATTTTGCAGGTTCTCCGGTAACATTGAAGTTTTAAAACAAAACAACAACCCAAATTATCTTCCTTATTAATAAAACGCTAGAGGCGTCTGTCCGTCCTCGCGCCCGTCTGTGGACTTTTCTTTAGAAAAAGT